TGACCTCAACACTAGACTTTTCTAATGTGTATTGAATGGATGCCCTGCAGGCTCTATAAATAAGCTCCAGCTGGTTCAAAATGTAGCAGGTAAAGTGCTTACTAGAGCCAAGATATATAATTACCTCATGCCCCGATGCCCCATTTTATTGTCTCTACACTGGCTACCTGTCACTCTAGCTAAATTTGACATTATGTCTGACTCTAAAACTGACCCCCCCCCCCCCCAATTGTAGCCTGATTTCTCTCGTAGTTATTTACTGGGGGACTAAAAAGTATTTAGAGAAAACAGCCTTTTATAATTTTACATTTTAAATGTTTCTCTTATTCAGTTTTTTTGTTATGTGATATAGTTTAAGTTTTTATATTTCTAATTAAGATAGAGGATAATTTTTTTTGTTAAATCCTAAATGGCCCACTTTACCAGATCAGATGGCCCACTTTATGTGAAAAGACATTTGTCTGGAGTGCATGATCTCAAAATGGTCACTGGTTACTTCCAAATAGCATAAGAACTTAATTCATATTAAAAAAAATGCATATGAAAATATCTAAATTACAAGTTTAACAAGAAGTGTCCCAATTTACCTAAATTATATGACCAAAATCTTGTACCAGGAGATGGAGACCAGGAGTGAAAAAGTGAAAGTTACAAAGTCAAAGTGAAAGATGGGTAATTTTCTATTATAACGATACAGTACACAATTGTCACAACCGGGACAAAGAGGCAGACAGTCAGTGTAACGTTAAGCAGAGAGTTTAATAACAGGAACTTAAGAGAGGCTTCCAACGGAAAAGAGTTCAACATAGGCAGTAAGGGAAGTAAAACACAGTCTTATCTGGGTCGGCACTCCGGTCCTTCGGCCGAGAACTGAGGATTCCGAGGGGAACAGGCAGATTGGAAGGTGAGGAACCAGGACAGAATAGCTTGCAACCTTGAGACCAGCCAATGAGTGAATTAGGTGAATGAACATCCCCTGACATACCGGGCGACATCTCTGGCCATGTGGGGCCACCAGTAGCGGCTCTGGAGGAGCGAGAGGGTTCGGCGGCTGCCTGGGTGCCCCGATCCCGGAGAGGTGTGAACTGAGTCCAGAAGGGTTATACGTAGGGTGGATGGGACATAGCTCCTCCGCTCTGGACCTCCCGGTGGAGCGGGTTTGGTGAGAGTGGTGGCACGGATCTGGTCAGTGAGAGCCCACTGAATAGGAGACATGAAGATGGCAGGCAGCAGGATGGGCTCGGGTTCTTCGGGGGTAGGATCCGGTTGGTGTAGGCAGGAAAGTGTGTCCGCGCAGACATTCTTCGTCCCGGGACGGTAAGTGACCACGAAGAGGAAGCGGGTAAAGAACAGCGCCCAGCGGGCCTGCCTAGGGATCAGATGTTTGGCCTCTCAGAGGTATTGCAAGTTCTTATGGTCGGTGATCACCTCAAATGGGTGCTTGGCCCCCTCCAACCAATGCCGCCACTCTTCCAGGGCGAGCTTGATGGCTAGTAACTCCCGATTTCCCACGTCGTAGTTCTGCCCCGCCAGGGATAATTTCCGTGAGAAGTATGCACATGGATGGAGCACGGGGGGTTCACCTCGCCACTGTGATAGGACGGCACCCACTCCCAGGGTCGCGGCGTCCACCTCGACCAGGAAGCGGAGATTGGGGTCTGGGTGTGAAAGGGCCGGGGCCGTACAGAAGACGGCCTTGAGCTGGCTGAAAGCCTGGTGGGCTTCTGGGGTCCAAGTGAGGAGTTTGGCCTTCCGTCGGAGGAGAGAAGTAAGGGGTGCCGCCATCTGGCTGAAGTGGGCGATGAAGCGGCGGTAGAAATTTGCAAACCCCAAGAATCTCTGCATCTCCTTGATGGTACTTGATTGGGGCCAGTTCTGAACGGCTTTCACCTTCCTCTGGTCCATTTGTACCCCAGCCGGGGTGACGATGTATCCCAGGAAGTGAACCGTGGACTGATGGAACTCACACTTCTCGGCCTTGAGGAACAGGTGGTGTTGGCAGAGGCGCTTGAGGACTTGGGTGACATGGGGACGGTGTGCTTCAAGCGTGGGTGAGTAAATGAGAATGTCGTAAATGTAGATGAGGACAAACCGGTTGAGCATGTCTCGGAAGATCTCGTTCATGAAGTTTTGGAATATGGAAGGTGAGTTGGAAAGCCCATAGGGCATGACCCGGTATTCGTAGTGCCTGGTGGGCGTGACAAAGGCAGTCTTCCATTCATCACCCCGGCGAATGCGGATGAGGTTATATGCGCTCCTGAGACACAGCTTGCTGAACACGCAGGCTCCGCGGAGTTCCTCCAAGGCTGCCGGGACCAGAGGAAGGGGATAGGCGAACTTCACGTTTGGTCATTGAGGGCCCGGTAATCGATGCACGGTCTCAGGCCCCCATCCTTCTTGGCCACGAAGAAGAAGCGCGACGCTGCGGGTGAGGTGGATGGACGGATGAACCCCTGTTGTAAGGCTTCCTGCACGTACTCCTCCATGGCGTCTCTCTCCGGGATCGACACGTCCTTTGGGTAATTGGGCCCCAGGCAGCAGGTCAATGGCACAGTCCCATGGCCGGAGAGGTGGCAGGTGAGTGGCAGCGAGCTTGCTGACACACGTCCTGGAACGCCTGATATTCGGGAGAAGGAGGAGTGATGGGCGCGGAATCCGGGATTTCCACTGAGGTGGAACACACTGGGAGATCCTTCCGGTCGGAGATCGGTCTAGGCAAATCCCGGAGACACGCTTGTTTGCACTCCCCACTCCACGTGAGTATTTCTCCGGACCTCCAGGCAATGGTGGGCTGATACTGGGCGAGCCAGGGGCATCCCAGGACGAGGTACACGACAGCCTCCTCCAGCACCAGTAGAGAGATCCGTTCGGCGTTGAAACATCCAATCCGAAGAACGACCTCGGGCATACGGTGCCGCACCAGCCCCTTGCCCAGCGGCTTTCCCTGGACAGTGGTGATCTGGTAGGTCGTGGAATTTTTGCAGCGGGGAATTTGCAATCCAGCGATACTACGGGAGGAGATGAAGTTCCCCGACGCTCCGGAGTCCACGAGGATTTTGACTGGAAAGGATTGGTTGTGATAAATTAGAAGGGCATTTATATGAGGAATGCCTGATACATCAGGAGTGATCTGGATAGTACTCACCGATGGGCATGGTGGACAAAGGGGGCAGGTGCGGAGCTGGTGCTCCTGGGATCCACAGTAGAGACATAGGCCATGGGTGAGTGTCCGAGATCGCTCTGAGGACGACAGGTGGTAGCTATCCGTGATCATGGGCTCAGGCACTGGAGTGGAGAGGCTGGGCGAGGCAGCGGGTATCGCTTCCATACGGCACGCGGTTAGGTGCTGGGAGATGCGAACCGCCTTCTGGAGGAAACTGTCGAGGCCCACGGTGTCATCATAGATGGCCATCTGTTGGCGTAAGCCCGGGTTGAGGCCTCGGTGGAACACCGAGAGCAGGGCGGCCTCGTTCCAGCCGCTGCTGGCGGCGAGTGTGCGGAAGCGCAGCACATACCCGTGGATGGATAACTCGGCTTGCCGCAGTTGAAAGAGCTCCTCATGCACCGTGACTTCCGTGGTCGATTGACTGAATACCTCCTGGAAGTGTTTAACAAAGCCCTCCAGTGAGTGAATGCATGGGCTCTGTGCCGTCCACAAGGCTTCGGCCCACTGCAAGGCTCGTCCCGACAGTAGTGAGATAATGAATGACACCTTGGCCCGCTCTGCCACAAACAGGTGCGGTTGCATCTCCAGATAGAGGGAGCATTGCAGCAGGAACCCGCTGCAGAGGGCTGCCTCACCCGAGAAGCTGGCTGGCCGGGCCATGGGACAGGCGGGTAGAGAGGTGGTGAAAGTCCGAATGGGTGAGGGTTCCGGTGAGGAGGTGCTTTGAGGATCCATTAGTCCGTGTTGTAATCCGTTTCGTTTTGAGGGGCTGGTTTTCTGTCACAACCGGGACAAAGAGGCAGACAGGCAGGGTAGCATTAAGCAGAGAGTTTAATAACAGGAACTTAAGAGAGGCTTCCAACGGAAAAGAGTTCAACATAGGCAGTAAGGGAAGTAAAACACAGTCTTATCTGGGTCGGCACTCCGGTCCTTCGGCTGAGAACTGAGGATTCCGAGGGGAACAGGCAGATTGGAAGGCGAGGAACCAGGACAGAATAGCTTGCAACCTAGAGACCAGCCGATGAGTGAATGAGGTGAGTGAGTATTTGAGTGGTGTGGTAAGTGGGTGCAGGTGTCCGTGATCAGTAATCAGGTGATTGTGAGCGGGTGTAGGAGGCTGATTCGGCTGGTGAGGCAGGTGTTTCCGTGACAATAATGATGCGCGGATGGCGGTTCTATCCGCGGGCGCTGCGGATAATCCGCAGATTGGGTGGGTCGAGTAATAAAGTTATCTAAATCAGACAAAAATACAGGTGCGGGCAGTTGGCGGGTAGATAATTTATTTGAAGCTGCGGATTCGGGTTATACGTTATAGCTCATCCGCGCATCACTATACACAATATAGTTATCCAGTCTGTAAAGCTGCTTTGAAACAATGTGTATTGTGAAAAATGCTTTACAAATAAAACTTACTTGACATTGCTAAAATGGAAAAGGCCTAAAAGTAATTCTAAATCTATGTAATAGCGCAGAGCGCAGACACTACAGCAAATTTCAGTACAGTGCTTTGCTCAAAGTCACAGCAATGATATACTGTAGATGAAGTAGGGCAGTGGTTCTCAATTAGTCGACCCCCCATCCACCCCCAGGCACTACACATTTTCTATGTCCCTCTCATCTAACACCTGATTTAGATCATCAGCTTACTGGAAGAGAGTTCTTATTTGTGTCAGATAAAAATGTGCAGAGCAGTGGGGCAATTTTGTAAGGGAACTCAGTTCTTGGAAATCACTCACAATCTACACCAGAATTTTTTGGGGCCCCTGTATTAAATTGGCTGCTGCTAGCAGTACAAGTAATGCGTAATGAGATAACAGCCCTAGAGTATTATTACCATTCTTCTTGTAGAACTGCACCTCAGCCTGGTACTCTTCTTTGCTCTCCAGTGCTTTCTCCACACCCTGAGTAACCTGCTCACTAGTGCCCGAGCCATATAGGAAATGACAGCTGCAGTTCTTCTGCATCACCTCTGTTCGTCCAAACCCCGTCAACTCACAGAATCCATCGGAACAGTACACAATGGGATAGCCACGGTGACCCTGAGCATTCCCAAGGAGGAAGTTGCTGTCTGTGGGACAGAAAAGAGATCAGGATTATTCATGTTATGAAGGACATTCTAAAGCTAGTTATGAATATTCAGTTTTTTGAAGTATTACGCCTCTATCTATCTATCTATCTATCTATCCGTCCATCCGTCTGTCTGTCTATCTAAATCAATCTGATATAATTGCATCATCATTCACATGGCTCAGCTTGTCGAATACTTAACTAAAGCTTGCTGTAGCATGTCACAGTCTTCAGCGGGTGTGCCCTGGAGGGCCACCAGATGACTGTGTTCTGGGAGCACATGGCTTGTGTTGTGTTTGTCTGTTGCCATGTGCTCTTTCCTGTCTATTGTCTGGCCCCTCCCATCTTGTTACCTCGTTATTGTTTAAGTTGCTCCACCTGTGTCTCCCTCGTTTGGTTCCTATTTATTCTCCTTGTGTCTGTCATCCTGTGCTGATCCGTAATTTCTCATTGTGTGTGTTTCGTGTCTGCATGTGGTCCAGCTTTGAGCCTGCTTGTCTGTTTTTCCCCTTTGGGGTGGTTTGAGTTTGTTTTTGTTTCATTTTTATTATTCCAAATAAATAACCATTTCTCCTGCAATTGAGTCCTCGCTTCATCTCCCCGCACGCTGACATAGCAGTTGCAGCGTGCTTCAAAAACTCCCCACCTTCCCCAGCTCCACATGTATAGATCTGCTATAGGTTAATTTCATGTATGTTATATAGGGGGGTTATTTCATGTTATACACAGTCACCTCTGCCTTGCTCACTAAATAATTATGGAATAACCTCCTAACAGCTTCCTGACAGGAATACTTGATATGAAAATATGTGATAAATTGGGTGAATTCAGGTAAAATAGGCCATTAGGTAAAGTAGGACTGTATAAGCTTGATTGTACTGTACTCAATGGGTTTTCATTTTCAGAGCATAACAATGGTCTTCAATTAAAGTGGCACTGTTGTTGTTGTTTTTAATAAAATAGTTTTTTTTTTCAAAGGTATGTGAAATATTTAAAATTTGCAGCATATAATCTTTAAAATATGACCAAGAGTTTTACACACCAGTCTGTTATTGTTGGGATATTTTCACGCCAGAAATAGAATAATCAAATACACTGAAGAATATTCAGTGGAGTAAAATCATGTGACAAATAGCCCTGATCTACATTTTATTGTTTTATAAAAGGTTATAAACAAAAGTAAAATGATCAGCATTTATCGGTAATCAATCATAGTAAAGGGTTTGTGTGTGTGTGTGCAGAATAGATATTTCAAAGTTCTTTCAGTAAGTCTTCGGTATACCAAAAGCTCAGTTTCACCCGCTATCATCACTGAGATTACTGCACAGGAAAGCTGGTCTCTACGGCAACAAGAGGGCAGCTATTTTGGGCCGTGAGTACACTGGTGCCTTGTTACCCAGAAGCGTCCAGCATTGCGAGGAAAGATCCTTTGTCTCGAGAGGGTAAGTTAACATTACTGACAAATCACCTGTCTCTAAAGTGTTCATCATAGTTTAAGATGAAATCAAGACACATTAAAACATCATTAACAGTACTTTCCTCATAATGTCAAATTAAAACAGAATGTTAATTTCAATTCAAGCTTCAGTTTGAAAAACATGACAATAAGTAAAACAAAGAAAAAAAGGCGGGGGGAGGGGACGGAAGCAAATAAAATGCCTTCTTCCTTTGGCTGAGAGTGAATGGCATCCCATAGAACTGTGTGGTAAAATGTTTGAAATTTGGCACACTCATAAGAACAGCCTGAACAGTCCTGATAGCCAGTTTTAAAACCCTATCTTCTGTCTTAAACCCTCCAGTGACACCAACAAGGCAAAGCTTAATTTTTTACTAGCACTTTAATGTCATCACACACATAAAACTTGGTTATCATCATGGTGATTACGCCCTGAGGTTGTGTGAGCAATTTCATAATAGCACAATTTAAAATATGTAATATATATATTTAATGCTCATAATTGTATTTTATAAATGTTTAATTGTATCATTTTGACTTTAGGTCATAGATTACAATATCTTGTAAGATAGCATATTGTTAAATAAGAAGCTGTGAGTGTGCATGAACATGCTGTTGTGTGTTTGTGCGAGAGAGATGTTATCTAACACGAGATTAAGTTTGTAAACTGTGTGAAGGATTTTCTTCATTACTAGTAAGAAAGCACAGATGGGAGGATTGTATTCTATTTTTTATATTTAGATATGTGTTGTACAGCTGCCTTTGTTTTGTATAAATACTGTTAAGAAAGTATATTGTTATCACATTTCCTGTCATGTTGAATTGTATTAAACTATGTTTTGCTTAATGATTATATTTTAGCATTTTGTGTTGTGATACTAATGTCATTAGACAGACATTTCAATGGATTATAGTAAAATCTAGTTATTGCTTTTATTATTATGAATGAGAATTATAATCTGTTAACCAGCCTTTTAACTAGTAGCTGGAGAGAGTTCTTGTAAATTCAAGGTAAAAGGATTGCATGAACACAAACAGCTTTGTCCCTTGACAATCACTTTTCCCATGACACACACACACTTATCTCAAAGATATAATGCCATGAGAGCTATGCAAAACAAAAGATTTATCTCCCATGATAAAACAGGAACAAACACACAAAGTGTATGTGGTGCCTACATGTATTAACCTGCAGGACAGATACAGTATACATTTACAATAATCAGTATAATGTATAATAGTAGTACAGAAATATTTGTGTTGGACCATTGTTGAATCGTTTATGACACAACTATTTATTATTAGACAATGATTTTCACTTTGAAGCTTACGGTTTGCCTTCATTTTGCTGTTAAATAAACAGTAAAATCACTAATTGATCCACTCATCCCTACTACATTTTCAGTCTAAAATTTTAACCTATATCTGTTTTTAAAAAAAAATGCATATTCATTTGGTGCTGGTGATGATATAGGCATGAAAATCCTTCACCTTTAGTGTACCTTGAAAACTGTAAATTTTCATCTTGAGCACTCTCTCTCATGTCGGTTTGGTGTGTGTGCTTTTGTGCCAGTACTTACGAGTGCCATCGAAACGAGTGGCAATGGTGTCCAGGAAGGTGTTCTGGGGTGCCAGCAGCCCCTTCATCACTGGCATGATGCCAGGTTTGCAGAGTCAGCAGATGTTTAGGGAAAAAGCCTGTATGAACCATCAATCCTCACTACATCCCAATGAAAGGGTGGCCAGGGAAAATGTGAGGTACAGCAGAGAGAACACATCCTAAAAGAGTAAGCACTTCCTCGAAAGAAGACTCCTCGCTGTATACTTCCTCAGGTAGCTTTTGGAGTCCAGTGGATGTATGACCAAGAAACAAACAAATCTCCTTCCTTGTCAGTGCATACATTGAAACCAATTTCCACTTAGTTTCTTCTCTTTTGTCTTTTCTGATAAGTCTGTCTCAGCTGTGTACACCTGTATGACAGAGGAGAATCCAAAAAGATGTGCATCTCCAGAACGGCGTGGATTTGTTGTTCTGTAACACACTGTGGCAGAGCGACAGAGACGGTTACATTTGTCTTCACCCCTCCTTCCCTGGCTCTTTCTCTCTTTATCCACACCCACTATTCATTTCCTCCCGTTCTTATCAGCCAATGAGAGCGCACACACATTCTTGAAAGAAATCTATCACACATATGCATCTACTTTCGCAAGGCCAAATAAAGTGCTTTTGCTTTCGCCTAGAAACACACAGCGTCTCCCTGACATGCTGCTTCAACACTAACTGCAGTTACTGAAACCACGCCTTCTTTCTTTGCGTACACATTTGGGTGGCATTATGCAAATATTTCCACATAGTGAGGTAGATATGTGGGGGCATGTTAGAACGATTCGTTTTAGGGGGGCGTGGCAGAGTCTTAACTTTGATAAAGAATATCTCTTTGGTTTTGAGACTTTAGTCTTTGCAACTTCAGGGATCTTATCTATGCACAATCAGCTTGTAACACTCCAAAGAGAAAGGAAAACTTGAAATTGCATCATATGACCCCTTTAAACCTTTTTTTTTAACTAAATATGCATTACGTTAGTTTTATGAAATGGGATGTTTTGTTGGGCCTCAAGAGCTATTCTCTGTCTAACCAACTAACTCCATGTTTTTAATGATATCTCCCAATTGTAGCATGTACATGGTTAAAAGTAACAGTCCTAGTACTGAGCCTTGTGGTACTCCTTACTGCACTTGTGACTGATATGACACCTCTTCTTTTTACTGCTACAAAATGACAACAGTATGATTAGACAAAAAGTATGACATAAGACAAAAGTATGATTTGAATGATGCCAAAGCAATTCAACTAATTGTTGCATAATTTTCAAACCTATCCAAGAGAATGTGGTCAACAGTATCAAAGGCAGCACTAAAGTCTAGTAACACTAATAAGAGAGATGCAACCACGATCAGAAAAGCAAGTCATTTGTAACCCTGATGAGTGCAGTTTCAGGGTTATTAAGTGGTCTAAATTAAAAATTGACTGGAATTCCTTGCAGATACCAATGCTTTCCAAAAAGAAACATAGTTGTGGAAATACCACTTTTTCTGATAGAAAAAGGAGGTTTGAATTTGGTCTGTAGTTACATATTTCTCTAGAATTGAGCTGTGGTTATTAATAAGAGGCTTAATAACAGCCAGCTCGAAAGGTTTTGGGGTAAATCCCAACAATAATGATGAATTAATAATATTAAGAAGAAGGTTCTATGACTTTTGGAAACATCTCTTTTAAAAGCTTGGTAGGTATAGGGTCTAATATACATGTCGTTGATTCAGATTATTTAATGAGATATAATGGATAATAGTTCCCATGGATGTATAGTGTCCCCCACTCACTTTTTTTCCAGGCAAGTGTATAGAGGTTTTCAAGGCCCATTGTGAATAATTCTACAGACAAGATAGCCCAAGTATGACCCAACATTTTATTCATATCCAAAACAAGGTGATGTGAACAATATGGAGTTAACACTCTAATTCAGAGTATGTTTCATCCATACTCAAAGCTGGATGGTGCTTGAAAGTAAAAAACAGACTTAAAGAAGTAATAACTTATGAAGTGCCAAAAATATCTGTAATAAATAAAATATACAGTAAGAATAATGCAGTGCTAATTGACAAAGCAAGTATTACAGTATAGAAAGTATTCTGCCTTATTCTGTGATAAAAAAAAGAGAAAAAATGTCTATTTCATTATGAAAATACAGGGAAAAATATTATAGAATACAAGTTATTGGTTATTGTCAAGCAGTATATTTGATTTAAGAGATAAGAAAAAATAAAATGTGTCAATTAGACATGCATAGATAAAAAAATAATAATACAATTAAAATAAAATGGTAGGCCTATTACATTTGACATTACTATCCCCTTACTTCTAAAATGATGGCTACGCCCCTGATAGATCCCATTATAATGTTAGGCACCAGCATCCTGACAGCTCTACAGAGAAATAGCAGTTTGGAGAATAGAAATAGAAGATAGAAAGTGTTACCAGACATATTGTGAAAATCATGATTAAAAACACACTTTCTATACAATTTATCAAATTGTGATGTCAAACATTTGGTATCTTTAAAAAGCCCAGGATGTCTCTAAATAATAGATTTTTCACATGTATTTTGAATCCCCTATTGACTTCAATAGCACATATATATTTACATTTATGCAAAAAGCAGATGCTTTTATCCAGGTAATCGAATGCATGAGCAAGGTATGTTAGTGTCATGCTCTATGGATGATTCAGCAACAGAAATGTGATGCATATTCCCTATCAACCCCAAAAGCTAAAGCTATGGAAAATGTGTGGGTACAGGCATCCATCACTCTTCATGGAAAGATGGAAGTTTGAGTTCCACAATTGATTTTAGTAGCTGAGATATAATTATGATTATGTGTGGGCATTCCTTTGCCTTCAAATGCCATTTTGAAATAAGAGAGGCTAGAGCAGATAAGATGCTGAGAGATGATCAACAATTGTGACAGCTTTATTTATTCATCTCCTTATAGAACAGTAAATTAACAGCCTCCAGAAACCCCTAAAGAATCATTAGCATGCCAAAACTGACAAATATGACTTACATAAGCTTGCATTTCCATTTATTGACTAAAAAAGTATGGGTATGAGAATTAATTTGATACATGGAATTTGCAGTGATTACTGAACTTAAAGAACCTTAATAATGACTATTATACTTCCCAATATACTGTATAAAACATGCATTTCTTATAAAAAAAATCCTTTTGTCAGTTGCAAAATTTAGCAAATCGAGATGCTAATACAATTCAGCCCCTCCAGTTATACTGTGTCTTCAGAATAAAAATTTATGAAGTTTACTAAAATAATTCAGATGAATCTAACAAAGTCATGACCATATTTCAGATTTCATGATGCAGTGTTAAAGCACCAATGACATGCAATTCAATACTGCTACTACCATAAACATTTGGGCTGATCAGCTATTTGAATGCATTTATTTAGCAAACAATTTATCAAAAGTGACTTAAAAAACAAATAAGGAATATAATTAGTTTGACTCTGAGGAAGCAGTAACAAAGTGCTATAAAAGCACCAGAATTTTTTAGAGAAAAGGAGTAAGAAAACTTTATTTCACTTAGAAACAAATCTGTAAGGCAATAAAGTCAACATTTTGGAGGAAAAATCCTCCATCTGTTCAGATGAGCCAAAGATAATTTCTCTGAGGAATTTCCCAGTATCCCTCACTCACAGTAAGAAATGTGCAACACAGATTGATTCTGAAATCCCTGGAAGCACTTTGCACAGTATCCATTGACAGATGCACTCTTGTAAATCCTCCCTGTGTCACTAAAGGATACCCACACTGTGTGCTCAGGACATTCAAACTCGCCTCATTTATACACCATGAATCATATGCAGAATGAGAATAATCATTGCAAATGAAAGTTAAAGGCATGACAAATGTCAGTGTCAAATTCATTTATATAACACAGTATGGAGGACTGTGGTGGAGCCGAGAGATTGAAGAGTTAGCATCACCCTGATTTTTCCATTGACTTTTGGATAACTGCAGATAACTGCGAATGCACATCACAGGGCACTTACAGTCGAATGGAATGCACCTAAACATCTTTGGTCCTTGGACCCCTAATAAATAAAAAGACCAAATATCTGAAGATATTTACAAAAATCACATACCATTAAACATTAAAAACAATCTGTTAATCTTCGTAATGTCTCTAAATGTTTTGCCAATATTTGTTGTTTTTGCAACAAATGGGGGCTTTATTAAAGGCTGTTGGCTTATTTAGAGAACTATACTTGAACCAGTGAGGAACTCCTCTGCCCCTTTCCCCCAGTACCACTCACTCTCACACACACACACACACACACACACACACACACACACACCCACACACACCCTTAACTCGGGCATTTAATCACAACACAAATGACTAAAGTGCAACCTTCACATCAAGCACAACATCTTGAACGTTACAATATTATAGTGTAAAATTTGTGAAAATGATTATGAAATGGAAAAGCGGTCAAATTAAAAAATATATTTTCAATTCTAAGATGCATATTTCAGTCAGTCAGTGCCAAGACTTGTACATATTCCATCCACTGGTAAAAGAAAAGTTTCTCGCTGGTTCTTGTGGTGGTAAATTTAGCCAAGGTAATTTTTATCAGGGTTTTGTCTAATCACAGAAAGCAACTAGACTAACGCAACCATCAGAAATAGGGCACTGCTAAAAATATTAACCCACATACAGTGAAGAACAGAGGACAGACCTCAGCCAGCAGAAGAACAAGGGCACAAACCTACTGCACACTCAGCAAGCTTTCTATGCAGCAAAAGTCTCTTCCTACAAAATAGCATTTTGTGCTGCACCACTACAGATAATCTCCTCAAAACTAGAGAATAAAAAGTCCTTTGTGAAATTTAAAGGTACACTATGATAACTGCAGGTTACTTGGAGAGGAACATTGTTTTGTTTGGGCTTCGGTGCAGCTCTGTACCACCATGTAACACTGTGTAATAGAAATTAAGGTACATGTATGTACATGTATATTTACATGTAGGCCTATTGGTCTATATTCTAAATAAGGTATTATGAATTAACAAATTATCTGTTTTCACCCACAGTGCGAAGTTGAAGTATTCCCTCAGCGACCAGCACGGATCAGCTCTAGGCATGACGAAGCGGATATCGTCCTCTTTTATAAGGCCAAACAAAGTAGTTTCGCTTTCACAACGAAACACACAGCATCACACACGGCGGCCTAGAGTGAGCGGCGGACCAGCGGGCTTGAGAACGACACGGCCGGCGGATTTGGCAAAGGAGCGGCCATCACACACGGCGGCCTAGAGTGAGCGGCGGACCAGTGGGCTTTTGAGAACGACGCAGCCGGCGGGCTTGTGGCAACCACATGTGACGCCCCCGGGCTGGACTCCGCTTCGTCCACGGTGAAAGCCGATCCGGC